TGTAGTTCCATAATCTAAATTATAATTAAAATTTGGGTTAATAAAGAGTTGTTAATACTTTGGGAAATGCTTATGATGTTATAATAAAAACCTTATAAATATGTAGTTTATATTTTGTAAGCTAATAAAGAGAGGGAGAGAGAGAAAGAGGAAAATTTACCAAAAAAGTGAACTGGCTGCCCTCTGAATAATAGAATTTTATAATAGTTCATTATAAAGTTTCTACCATCTATTGCTTTTAGAAGCAATAATCGCCCCCCCCTCCACACACCTCTACACACATGAGTGATTGCAGGTTCTGGGCCAAACACAGCAGAAGGATTACCTTGGGTAGATTCTAGGATGGAAGGAGGGTGAAGGTCAGCACCTTTCATAGACTGAGTACCAAAGCAAGGACGGGGTTCAAAGGGGGGTCCCCATGTCAGGCTAGAGGGGGAGATCACAGGTTCAAAAAACATGGACAAGGCTCTTGAGGGAAGTTTCATCTGCCTGGGAAGCTTCCAGCTCCCACCTCCTGCAGAGCCCAGGGTGGTATCCATGAAATGTGTGACCAGTGACAGGGGCTAGCCATGGTAGGAAGCCTGCAGGAACCAGCAGGATGGAAACTTAACCACCCTTGAGTGGTAAGGGATACAGGCCAGGTACCTCCATCATCTCTTCAGGTCCCACCCATTTTCAGACTGGGGGCCCCAGGAAGGTCTGCAGATGTCAGGAGAGTGCAGGTCCATGTCTGGATTGACCTTCCTATGGCCTCCACGCTTTCCCTGAGCCAGGAGATCTAAGGTTGTCTCTACTTCTCCTTCCCCAGTTTCCCATCCAGATTCCAACTACCCTAGGTGTCACCATCTCTGGGCCCCAAACAAGGGACAAGTAGAAATAGAGCTCTGGAGCAAATACCAAATTGGATAATGGTTAATTTTATCCCAGTGACAAATTCTTGATAATACTCCAGGCCTCTAACTTTGAATCTGTGTCCATTGTTCTATTGGCCTTCCTAGAACCAGAGGGCATCAAGGGAAAGGTTGTCCTGGGGACCCTTATTAACATGCTCACTTGAGTTGAACATGTCCATCCTTGTCTTCCAAAAGCCACAGCGAGTCTAATTCGCCAGAGAGTTTAACAGTGAGGACTGGCTTTGCCAGTAAGTTGTAAGACCAAGGCTTTCCATAAATCAACAAAACAAACAGAATCTGTAGGACCGAGGTTCTAAATAACAAAACACATCTGAAGCCGATATACCACAATTACACCTTCCCAATAATTCACAGAGAAATAGATGTCAACTAAAAAAATGTGCAAGAGTGGTGATACTGCACAACCTTATGAACATGTGAATACACTGAAAAACACTGAATTGTACAATTTAAAAGAGTAAAATATATGGTATATGAATAATATCTCAATTTTTTTAAATGTGCCAGAGGGATACAGATAAGATGATCAATCATTCCAGTGGGTCTGGGACTGAGGGACTTGGAGGGGCACAGGATTTTCAGAATTAAACTGGAAGAGTCCTTGGAAAACTGAAACAAGTTGATCATCCTAGGTGCAGTTTTAAAAAATTATTTTCTGGACAATGAGAGCAAAAAAGTCTCAAGATGTGAACAGCTCTTCTATTAACACAAGACTTGAAATCCTAGAGCAACAGGGGCCCTTTGGGGGAATCTCCTCCTCCCTGCCTCTCCCAGTGCTCCCCAACTCCTACTCCAAGCTCCTGCCTGGGGTGCAGAAA